CATTGACAGAAATAATTATATTAGGCTACTGTACAATAGATTTACTACTACTACTACTAATAATAATAATAATGTGTGCATAGACGGTTGCTTATTTTTCACTTGATTTTTTTTATAAGCAATATTTCTCAGTATCATCAATATTTTGATATGAACCAATTAAACTATAATATCCATGGATGTAGGCGTAGCCTAATATTTTATTGTATATTTTTGCTTTGATTCAACAGCAGTTCTGATTGTACTGTTTTGCATCAATATATTACACAATTTGTTCAGTAATTTTCACTATGTCTGTATTCTCTGTACTACCGCAATGCTTTTACATGGATGTATATTTACTGTACATGTAGAACCATAATGAAACCTCTATCACCTATTTTGTTCTACAATATTTAATGATTGTACGAACAATCACACAGTGAAACTATCGGTTGCTTGTGTGTGGGTGATCTATAGTTATGCTTCAATGGTATTTCACAGTAAATTAGTTTTTTGAACCAATGATTGTGCGAGTGCAAGATTTCTTTAAAGATGTGAATGCACAATGCAATGTTTTGAACATTAGACTGCCTGTGTTACAAGTGATAACCGCTTTGAGTTTTGTGTCTAGAGTTTTGAAAAATGATATAAAGGTTCTGAAAATAATAGCAAAGCGATTGTAAAAAAACTGTTGATGACTTGATGACACAGAACTATGTGGATCAGAATGAAAATATAACAAATAAATACAATCTCAAATTAAACGAAAAATAGGTTCAAATAACACAAATGATAATTCACAGATTAGTAATGCCATTTCCTAAAATATTTAGTTTGTTTTGAAAAGCTTAAGATAACACGTCACATGCTAAGTTCATTTCAAATATTTTTTTTCTAATTACTGCAGGGTAAATTTAAAAAATACATTTCTAAGTTACCCAAAGCAAGTAGATAGAGAAAACTTACAGCTGTTGCTCTTTAAAACTTCCAAAAACACGGATTGACGAGAAAAAGACCCAGTCTGAGCAACATACCAGCCATGTGCCCGGCTACTCACTTCCTCCTACTATATATTACCTACAGTTTCTTAAACGTCCACTAGATGGCAGTTTGAGAACAAAATTAACTTGAGAAACAGGGTACAGAACCCTGATAATAAGCTGAACATAAACTAGTTTAATTAGTGACATCTAGACTACATTTTAAAACCTTTATTTGCACATATTTATTTTAAAATATTTATTTGAATAAGGCAACATTTTTATTTTAAAATCTTAATTTGAATATGGCATTATGATACCTCATTCCACTTCCATGATTAAAGGTTCTATATGTATAACTATTTATAAAATGAATCCTTTTTTATTGCCTGTGTTTGATGAGGTTGTAATCACACATTACAACGATCCACTTTTCGGGTTTTGCCATTACCTCTGAAGGCCAATATTCTTATTTATATGCGAGGTCTCCGGGTCAGATTTCCTGCGAAATCCATCAGAAGTGAACATTATTTAGTATTCATGTCATGTTTCATGTAGTTTACCTTGCTATTTCACTTGAGTTTACTATGTTGATCCGTGTTTTCGTCCGGAGACGATCAGATTCACGTTTTGCCTGACGAGCTTGAGCAGATAAAACTTTTTTTGTTTTTTATATTTATGTGCAGTTTGTGTTGGAGTCTGTGTTGTGCTGGAGGCAGGACGTTTTGGGCTGTTATCAGACTCCATGTCGTCAGCTGAAGTGCCGTTGTTCACATGATAGACTGTAGGATAGAGAGGCTCGGGACTCGGGAGCGCGCATGCACAGACGGATGCAGAGAAGAGAAAAATAGCCAAAGCTCGGTTTACACCGATTGAAAATTCTAGACATGAGGGGACCATATACAGTCTAGGGGAACTCATATTAATGTTAAAAAAACCTCAGAAAATGAAAATTTCATGTCAGGGGACCTTTAAACTACAGAAAAAAAACATCTTGACGTGAGTGTGCACTACATTGATCTCAGCTCTTCTCTCTTGGCCAGAATCTCCTCAATATTCTTGAGCTCTGCTGATTTTTCCTTGCTGGCCCTCCTCAGGGCATTTGACTTGGTTATTAGCTGAGCCATCTGACTGCCAGCCTTGCCCTCAGCCTCCTCTGCATCTCTGAAAAGACATTCAGCAACTATTTACATAGTCCTCCTCCTTTTTATGAGTTCCTCCAAGTGATCTTCGGCCACCTTTCTCTTTTGGCCCTGTACAAGGGACTCTTTCTTTTTTCTCTCTGTCTCAAGGTTGAAGGGTTGGGGTCAGAATCCCTTCAAGTCAAGTATACGTACATCCTTTTATAATTACATTATTCTTATAATAATCACTAATCAAGTTATAATCATTCCTGTTTTTAATGAGTGTTTTACATATAGTTTTTAAGTATACTCTTATGCATGCCTCTTTCATGAATGTCTTATGATGTCTATGACTAATCTGTAGTGGCCCTGAGCTAGACATTAAATACAGGCTCGTTGTATGTATGGAATGAATGTGTCAAGCCTAAAGAAGACCCCCATTATATGATCCTGTTCGCCTGCTGACTGACCCCATTAAGGGGCAGAGGTCAACTTCTGTACGGCTCTATGATTTGTCTCACAAATATTATACGTCTTTAATACACAGTAAAATTATATTTGCAGCTGATGAACATCATTCAGGGTTTCTGCAGGTATCTTCAAAAAGATATTCCCAAATGACCACACTAACTTGAGGACTGACTCAGCAACCAAGCCAATGTCAATGTCCTTTTGTTGGATCCAGTTCTTCTTCGTCAGCTACATCCAGCTTGGTTAGCTGCAGTGTGGTGATGTTCTGGAGGACATCTCTTTTAATAAAAAGTCTCAGAGCAGATCTTAATGAATCATATAAGCCCATTTTTTATTTTATTTTGTCATACTTCAATGGGTAAAGGGATTTATTTAAAGGGCACCTATTATGCCCCTTTTTACAAGATGTAATATTGGTCTTGGGTGTCCCCAGAATGTATTTGTGAAGTTTCAGCTCAAAATACCCCACAGTTAATTTATTATAATCATTTGAAAATGTCATTTTGGGACCTGATTAAAAATGAGCTGTTATGGGTGTATGCCACCTTAAATGCAAAAGAGCTGCATGTCCCCGCCCTGCCTTTGGATGAGGGCGTAACTTGATACCTATGGCAGTCGGTAAGAAGAAGGGGAGAGCACCCCGTAAACCGCTGTTTTGAATGTCATTCAGCATACGTTTGAATAGGAATATATAAATAATACTAAGAGACTCAGGCAGAATAAACACAAATGAGAATGGACCAGTACGTCTCGGTATGGTTATTTGATACATTTATGTACTTATAGAGTTGTAGTCACGTCTTTTTGCAAGTATGGATGTGCAACACACACACAAACACTAATGCTGACGCATTTTTTTGAAACTACATACACATTCTGTGATAAAGTTTGCTACGTACAAGCGAAATTACATTTATGCGAGGGACCTGTGGCGTCATGTTTACTTGTCATACAGGTGCTTCTGTGATAAATGTGAGAAGATGGCTAACTTAAAGAACAGCAACATATATGCAGTTTTTAATACAATATCTTTAAATATATATTTATAAATGTGTGGTTACACACTATACAAACAATGTTTAAATTATATACACAGACATCCTATGATGACAACAACTTTAGACGCATAATTTGTTGTTGAATTGGCTGACAGACTGAAATGACTATTTGCTCAAAAATCATAAAATACACTTACTAGAGGTGTCGGTGGATCGCAAACAGTAGATGACAATCCTCACTTGAGGATTAATTTTTAAGCCACAACAACAGGATTTACCCACGAGTCCACGACAGAACACTTATGTTTCCAAGAGACATTACCGGCTGTCGTTGAAACAATGGAGGATGGTGTGTACAGATCACCGAGGGCGGTGTCTAGGCCACATCCACACTGTCAATCAAACCCCTTGCTCAATTCTACGTCACAAAGCGCTGAATCTCAGAACAGCTCGTTCTGAGACAGTGCATATGATTTTTTAAGATTGTAAAAAAAAACACTGGGTGGATTTTTATCATTCTAGGATGGTTTTGCTCACACACTGCCGACACACATTTATGTTCAAACACCATGTAAAAGTGAATTTTGCATAATAGGTGCCCTTTAATGGACAAATCAAACAGAAACCTGGAAGGCTTGTATTTGTTCAAATAACATTGAAACATTATGAAGTGTGTTGTGGTTGCTTCCTCTGGCTTCTGGCTGCTTTATTTTAAATAAACACCAGATGGCGCTTTTCTTGACACTCGCAAAGCTTTGAATCTTTTCCCGAAACAGTCAGGGGAAAGCCTCACTGATTCATGAGGCTTCATTTCCCTATCCCTACAGGAAACTCAGGACAATGATCGAAGGAAACCACAGGACAAAAGGGAAGTATATTCAGGTAAGTTGAGTCTAAAGTGTCGAGTGACGAGACCAGACACTGAGGCTATGTTTACACGGAAAAGATTCTGAAGAGAAAACACAAAAGTGGCGTTGCGTTATCACTTTTTATTCTGCGTTCAGACGAGCGTTTTGGGTGGTAAATCCGTGTGCATACGGTGACGCAAAACTGCGTGAAAATCAATGTAGTATGCACTCCAGACGGCTTGGTGGCAACGTGAAGCACTGCCACACAACATCAAGTCCACGTGCCTTTATTTTTAATTTTCACAATGTGCAGAGAGTGTTTCAATCAAATAAAGTCTTCAATATGTTCTTAATGCATCACACGTATATGTACTGTATATTCTAAATGCATCACACGTATATGGTGACACTAGTTTTCTGAACTATTATTCTTGTTTTATCTGTATGAGATAACCATGCACTGCTTGAGCGATGACACTGACATGACACAAGTATTTTCACATTGTTGCTGTACTGTTCAGTTCATCTTGTATACAGTAACACTCAGTGTTTACTGCGCATATGCAACACAACAGAGGAATCAATAGGGGTGTAGGAAGAACAAAACGTGACACACTTTCAATGCAGTTCACAACCATTTTAATCGGTTCCCCCTTGTCAAACAATCAAACTTCAAAACTAATTTTAGATTAAATTACTATATGTAATTCCATCTTTTGCCTATTTACAAGTTATGACCTTTGCTCACTTAGACATCTTCAGGCAATCATTTTTCTTATGTTTCTGTAGACTATAAATGGCTGTAACTCTTCTCACACGAAGAGCACTGGTGCGGTTTCTCTCCGGTATGAACTCTCTCATGATCTTTCAGGTGTCTTGACTGAGAGAAACTCTTCTCACAGTGTGAACACTTGTATGGTTTCTCTCCAGTATGAAGTCTCTGGTGTAATTTTAAGTTGCTGGCTGAAGTGAAGGTCTTTCCACAGTCAAAGCACACATAAGGTCTCACACCAGTATGAATACGCTCATGCTCTTTTAAATTGTGCAGTTGTGAAAAACTCTTTCCACATAGAGAACAAAAGTGAGGCTTCACACCACTATGACATTTAAGGTGTCTTCTTAAGCCTGATTCAAAAAAAAAAGTTTTATCACACTGGTCACAGCTTAATGATCTCAATCCAGAGTGATGGCGCAGATGATCTTTGAGAGAACAATTCTTACTGAAACTCTTTCCACATTGAGAGCATGTGAACGGGTTTTCTCCAGTATGAATTCTCATGTGATCATTTAGGTGTCCTTTATATCTGAAACTCTTTCCACACTGAGTACACGTATAAGGCGTTTCTCCTGTATGAATCTTCATGTGTGAGTTCAAGGTTGATTTATATTTGAAACTCTTTCCACACTCAGAACAGGTTAACAATCCTCTGACTCCAGATTTTCCAGCTTGTTTCTGTGTGAAATTCTCTTCAGTCTTTGAAAAGACTGCATTTCCATCTTCATTTGTGAAACGATCCGTTTTTTGAAACTGATGCAGTTTGTCTTCATTCACTTCCATCAGGTCTACAAAAAACAAAACAAGTTAAATTCCCATAATTTAATAAAAGGATACTTGAGAAACAAAAAATAAACATTCAAAATCTTAATTTAGCCCAAATTCAGTTTACTCTTGAGTCAAATAGTATCTAGATTTAGATAGCATTTATATGAGTTTTCATCTTAATGTTTCTCTTCAGTCATTAAAGAGAATGAAGGAAAAAACCAACCTATTTGTTCCTCTGTGTCTTCATCTTTTATTCTGCAGGGTTCTTCCTTAATCTCCATCTTTACAATAGTATGTCTGTAGTTTCTTCTGGAGTAACTCCTCCTGCTTGCTGCTGCTTCTTCTCCTGTGGGAAGATGGGAATATTCCATTTAAACTCTCATGAACGGCTGTGGGAGCTTCACTGACTGAAGGAGTGAATTGTGGTCGTTGTTGCTCATTTAGCAGATGATCATCACACTTATCACTTGAGATTATCCAGGTGTAAATCGTCATTTAGAAACAATTCCATGATTACTGAATTTACACTTTTGGCTTCATATCAAGTGGTGATACACAACTATTGTCGTTCATTGCATCTTGCATTGAGTGTAGAATTCATGTTATAAAGAAAAAACAAACTTGTGCTAAATGAGTGACATTAATAATTAACACATTTCCTTGAGTAGCCATGTAATCAAACCCACAATCCGATTCAATAAGAATAATAGAAGAATAAAAATTATAAAAATAGTTTTATCCAATCATCTAGTCTACAGAAACATAAGAAAATCATTGCCTAAAGATGTCTGAGTGAGCAAAGATTACTTCCATAACTTGTAAATAAGCGAAAGATTAAATTAACTTTTATACAGAAATTTATTCTAAAATTAGTATTGAAGTTTGAATGTTTGACTAGAGGAACTCGTTAAAATGGTTGTGGAATTGCATTGTAAGTGTTGTATGTGTTGTTCTTTATTGATCCTCTGTTGTGTTGTACATGCGCAGTAAGCACTCAGTGTTACTGTAGACAAGATGAACTGAACAGTAAAGCAACAATGTCAAAATACTTGTCAAGTCCAGTCACCTTTATTATTGTATCATTGTATGTTTTATTTGTAGATTGTATCAAAGCAGCTTCACAGTGATAGCATGAAAATAATACAACGATTTTTGTTTTTAGAAGAACATTTAGTAGGGCAGATCAATAATATTGTTGATTATTTAAATGTCCCCAACTAAGCAGGCCAAAAGCCAAGGCAACAGTGACAAAGAACCAAAACTCCTTAAATAACTGACTGGCCAAATAAACGGACGTGCCAGTTTCCTTCAATATTATGAAGCTGCAGACTCGGAGCCTGCATCTACAGCCCCCCACCGAGAGTCCTGCATTCTCAGACCCCTCGTTTTTCGAACACAGCGCCTCCTGCTGTTCGAAAGATCGTATAACACCCGCACACACAGTACAGCACACGCTTATCCAAATGCAATTAAAAACAATAGGATGCAATATTACGGTCTCCAAATAAATTATCCAATAAATATTTGCGTTCCCTGCTTAATGCATGTGCCAAAAAAACTAATTGTTACTGATGGAAAGGATACAATTACAAATGGAACTATCTTATGAAAAATAGTATGGGATATTACACTCACCGGCCACTTTATTAGGTACCCCATGGTAGTAACGGGTTGGACCCCCTTTTGCCTTCAGAACTGCCTCAATTCTTCGTGGCATAGATTCAACAAGGTGCTGGAAGCATTCCTCAGGGAGTTTGGTCCATATTGACATGATGGCATCACACAGTTGCCGCAGATTTGTCGGCTGAATCTCCCGTTCCACCACATCCCAAAGATGCTCTATTGGATTGAGATCTGGTGACTGTGGAGGCCATTTGAGTACAGCGAACTCATTGTCATGTTCAAGAAACCAGTCTGAGATGATTCCAGCTTTATGACATGGCGCATTATCCTGCTGAAAGTAGCCATCAGAAGTTGGGTACATTGTGGTCATAAAGGGATGGACATGGTCAGCAACAATACTCAGGTAGGCTGTGGCGTTGCAACGATGCTCAATTGGCACTAAGGGGCCCAAAGAGTGCCAAGAAAATATTCCCCACACCATGACACCACCACCACCAGCCTGAACCGTTGATACAAGGCAGGATGGATCCATGCTTTCATGTTGTAGACGCCAAATTCTGACCCTACCATCCGAATGTCGCAGCAGAAATCGAGACTCATCAGACCAGGCAACGTTTTCCAATCTTCTATTGTCCAATTTCGATGAGCTTGTGCAAATTGTAGCCTCAGTTTCCTGTTCTTAGCTGAAAGGAGTGGCACTCGGTGTGGTCTTCTGCTGCTGTAGCCCATCTGCCTCAAAGTTCGACGTACTGTGCGTTCAGAGATGCTCTTCTGCCCACCTTGGTTGTAACGGGTGGTTATTTGAGTCACTGTTGCCCTTCTATCAGCTCGAACCAGTCTGGCTATTCTCCTCTGACCTCTGGCATCAACAAGGCATTTCCGCCCACAGAACTGCCGCTCACTGGATGTTTTTTCTTTTTCGGACCATTCTCTGTAAACCCTAGAGATGGTTGTGCGTGAAAATCCCAGTAGATTAGCAGTTTCTGAAATACTCAGACCAGCCCTTCTGGCACCAACAATCATGCCACGTTCAAAGTCACTCAAATCACCTTTCTTCCCCATACTGATGCTCGGTTTGAACTGCAGGAGATTGTCTTGACCATGTCTACATGCCTAAATGCACTGAGTTGCCGCCATGTGATTGGCTGCTCAGAAATTAAGTGTTAACGAGCAGTTGGACAGGTGTACCTAATAAAGTGGCCGGTGAGTGTATATTGCTATAATGTTTTTTATATTTTTTTTAATTCAAATTCAAATTTTTCTTTCAGTTCAACCTATAATGGTCTAATCAACATTACCATGCTAACATTACAAAATCAGTTTTTTGATATTTTGAATGTGAAGCAAAACAAATCAGAATAAACAAAACACCAATAATAAACAATTCTGTACTTTATTTAATGAGCACCTAAACATCTTGCTGTAAAGAAAAAAGGAAGAAAAATGTGTTTGTGACTTTAATTTTCATCTTCAATTGCATTAAAAAACTAATTTATAAGTCGCTTTGCATAATCATAAAATGATATGTTGCTGGGTTCGGCAGGGGCGACTCCATCGATGCATGGTGTACCCTTGAATAGCCTACAACAGTAAAGGCCCGATGGCACCTGTCTTATGATGTTTCAAAAAGAAAGAAAAAAGATGTTTGCAAATGTTACCTCCATGTTGCACTGCTCTGTTGAGGTGTCCCTTGAGATGTTTTTGAACTTTGGACAACTTTGTGGGTTTGAAATATTTGGGAACATTAAAAAATGTTTTTTTTTTTTGGTGAAGTAAATACTACTGAAAAAACCCAATGTAATTTACTTGAAAAAGTTAGTTTAGGCAAGAATTTAAAAAACGAAGTAAATTCTATATCAGTACTTAATTCAAGCAAGTAGAAATGAAAATGTAAATATCAACTCAATAAAATTAAGTAAAAATTACTCAACTTTTCTGATACTGGGGTTCCCATCATGCACTGGACCTTGAATAATTAATGAGGCTCATTTTTCACTGGTTTCCAGCTGTATTTACACTGTTTTATCATTGATTTTTGTTGTCAGTATTAGTAAATTGCCATTTTGTGGCATTTCGAGTAAATTTTTTGCACAAAATGACACGTTCAAACACAAAAACGACCCATCAAATGTTACCGCCATTGTGTATTGTCTATTAAGTATTGAGGTGTTTGCATTCACATGATGCTTAACATCTGACATGATGTATATAAATTACTTAGATGATCTAAGTAAAGCACATACTATAAATGACTAATAAAATTCAAGATTATTGTTTTAGTGAAATGTAATACAAAGGCAAAGGAAATCAATATTTATCAACCTTTTACTAGCAGAGTTAAAAATACTTATTTTTTTGTAAAGTTTACTTAATTCCATATTCCAAGTAAATTTAACTTAAAGATTTTAAAATTAAAGCTACTGATATTTAGGTTTTTAATTTTTAATTAAAGCTACTAAATGTTTAGGTTTTTACTTGGCAAATCTATGTAAATTTACTAGCATTTTCTGAGTGAGATAGTTTAGCAAGGTTTTTTCCAAGTAAATCCTATTCCAAATTTTCTACAGTGTATGTGGACGCAGAGTTAAACACTTACAGTACATGCTAACACCTCCAATAGACAAAGAGGAGGATCCACTTGCATGGTGGAAAGTACACAAACTTAGCTTTCCTCGACTCGCCAGACTTGCCCGCAAATACCCGTGTATTCATTCGACAAGCTCGCTGTCAGAGAGACTTTTCAGTAGGGGTGCACGATATTGACAAAAATGTGATATTGCGATATCGATAATGAATATTGCGATATCGATATTAATTTCGATATTTTTAAATGGATGTAAAACTACAAAAGTTATAGGAAAACACATAAAAAAGATTAATAAATAAAACAAGTTTTCTTACAACGTAAGGTTTATTTCAACTGACAGTCATATTGGACTGGTACAGCATGAATATATAAATAATAACCATGTCTACAGAACAGGACATGTTTTACTATGTTAGTTGTGTAGGCCTACACTACAGTCAGTGTAAAAGACAATAAATAAGCAAGTCCATAGAACACACTATATGCAAGATAAACACCACTATATGCGTTTTCTTTGACCGGATAGCTATCTGATCGTGAAAAGACCAGTTGTAAATGCCCTGTGGAACGCATGTGACGTAACGTTACCGGTATTTGAATCTAATCGCTCAAACCACTTCAGGAGGTGGTCAGGGCCGCATTCCAGACGAAACTGGACAAATGTAAATGTATCTCGTTATTGAATAAACCACATATGTAAAATTGACTCCTTCCAAAAACGCTAAAAATGAGAACGTTACAGGCTTAATGTCATGTTATGGCCAGATTTGACGACGTGCGCGACTGCAACACGCTGATCAGCTGAGCATCTCTTCATTATGCCAACGCGCAAACTATGGCAAATCAAAGTGAAAGTAAGTCACAGACGCTTTTACACAGTTATCTTCATTAAAAGTAAATTAATGATCTTATTTTACCTGATGATCGTATGCAGCCCATTTGCTTTCGGTGACGTAACCCAGATAGCAAACTGACATTGAATCAACGTGGAAATATGACATCGAAACAACGTTGATCTGACATTGTTTTGCTCATCGAATTAACGTTGAACCAACGTCAGACGCGTCATTCTTTAAAAACTAACGGAAAATCAACTTAAAATCAACGTGTTGTTTCAACGTTATGAAAGCAAACCAATTTTCGATTTTCATTTAGCTTTGAAGAATGCCGCGTCTGACGTTGGTTCAACGTTAATTCGATGAGCAAAATCAACGTTGTTTCAATGTCATCAGAGACGTCGTTTCCACGTTGATTCAATGTCAGTTTGCTGTCTGGGAACTTACGCGCACTCCATTGAATCTGCATATAGCGCGGGAATTAAAGATCGTATTTTGATAAATCAGATATCCGATCAGTGAAAACGCATGAAGTTGCCAGATGGCCTGATGTTTATGCTTGTGCGCGTCGAGCCGGCCGGGGCAAGTGTGTGTGTGGGCGGACTGTGTGGTAGTAGAGCAAGTGAGACGTGAGAGAGTGACGGCGATTAGCTTTGAAGCGAATAGCGACTCTTGAGAAAAACAAAGTGTCTCCCCTGTTCTTTCTGACCACTGTGGGAAATCTGTAGCATGAAAAGTTAAACCTCTCCTTGATTTCATGTTGTTTATGGAGAAGGAGAATCAGGAAATGAATCGGTGGAAATGAAACGGTGACGGACGCATCATAAACAAAATATTGCATAAATATCGCGAGACTTTCGATATGTATATCGAGCAACGTGATATCGCGATAACGATATTGATTCGATATATCGTGCACCCCTACTTTTCAGTACTAGTGGCAACATCATCACTTGCCAATGAACCTGTCTCAAGCCTACAAAGGTTGATAGACTTGTGTTCTTAGCTAAAACACCTGGAGTAAGCAAAGCATAAAGAATACATAAGCATGCATCTAGCTAAACAATACTCAGTTTAGAAGTAAATAAAAGTTTTACTTTATTTTGTTTTTCATATATTTAGCCATTATGATGACCAACACTGTTTTTTCTTTGGCACTTTTGGCACAAATTGCTTAGAAGTTGTTTTATATTTAAAAAACAACATTTATTTTCAGTTATATTTTTGTAAACCAATCAGAGGCTTTTTTATTTGAAAAACCTGTTCTGTTTCTCCGTTTATGCGTTCTAATTTTTGGAATAAAACATAAGTGACCTTTTAGTCAGCTTGCTAATTAGTGAATTTATTAATATCATTGGAATGGTAATTATTGACTTTAGCCTGGATTGTTGGCTCGCAATATCGCAATATATATCGTTGGGGGAAAAATACCGCAATGTAATTTTTTTTCAATATTGTGCAGCCCTACAATGGACCAACATTATGTTACTTTAATTTTCAGAATAACCAGTGGGAGAATGTAAGGAACTTCATACTGTGTTATTATTCATGTACAAATGTGAAGGAGCCTACTTTTTCCCTCACAGGACAGCAACACTACGCATTTTACATTAAACCACACAAAAGAATATAGTTTAAATGTATCAACATTGCAAACACTCAGAGAACCTTACAAAAAATAAACAAATATCCAGAATTCTCTTTTATGTACACATTTAAACTTGCATAAAACAATGAAATAATGAATAATAAAGAAATAATGTACAATGTAGGCTATAATGTCATTTTCGGCTTTCCACTAATGTAGCAGGCAATGGTGACGAATTAAGGAGTTAAGATGAAGAAGAAGAAAAAAAACTTATGGCTTTAACGCTGGTTTCCCTGGCTAATTGATTAAATGAAAACTTAATACTTTTACATTTAAATGTGAATTGGCCGTCCACCACCGAACTCTTGGCCGACCTTTTTTAAAAATAAAAATGCTGTCGTCACCCGCGCAATGACGTCTTATGGGGTCGGATAGGCCGCTTAGTCTATGCTTAGGATCCATTCATGTATCCTTTCTTTCACGGGGAAACGAAGGGTGCATTTGGCGTCGCTTTTGAATCAGGGAAGCCTTCGTCAAGCTGCAATGACGCAACCAGCCTTCGAATACGGCCTTCGGAGGATGCAAAACTGAATTGGGACAGTCTTCGTTGAGTCACAGTGACGCAATCGGCCTTCAAATACGGCCAAGCGTCCTTCAAATACGGCCTTTGGAGGATGCAGCCTTCACATTGGGAGAGTTAGAATGTCTATGCTGCTAACACACACTCTTGAACCTCCGCCCACTGTTTCGGGAGCTGCAGCTCATTTGTATTTAAAGGGTAACTAAACCCCTGGTCAGAGCCTGACTCCACCCACTGGCAATATTTGAAAAATGCTGGAAAAGTGGGCAGAGCCGAGGGGGGTGTGCACCTGAGACGCATCTCTTGTATGGAACTTGCCTACGTCACCAACAACCGCTGTGTCACGTACCACCGCAAACATCCAATAGGAAAATTCAACAGCATTTATGAAGCTCCATTCTTACAGATCATTAACTAAAAAAAGTTGGTTTAGTGTTTAGTTACTCTTTAAAGTGCCAGACAAAATAGTGCGTATTTTGCTAAACCTCAAAAAATGATAACTTTAACATGCTATATAAAAATATCTGTGGGGTATTTTGAACTAAAACTTCACATACACACTCAAAAAAGAGATTTATTTTACACCTTGTGAAAAGGGCATTATCCCACCCCTTTAATGTTCCTCATCAGTCATTAACAAGAATGAAGGAAAACACCAACCTATTTGTTCCTCTGTATCTTCATCTTTTATTCTGCAGGGTTCTTCCTTAATCTCAATCTTTACAATTATGTCTGTAGTTTCTCCTGGAGTAATTCCTCCGGCTTGTTTCTTCTTCTCCTGTGGGAAGTTGGGAATATTTCCCAGCATTTAAACTCTCGTGAATGGGAGCTTCACTGACTGAAGGAGTGAATTGTGGTCGTTGTTGCTCATTTATAGTCCAGTGATTTTAAGCCAAAATGGGGGTCAACCTTGAACAAATTGCAACAGAAGCAAACTCAACTGATTTTGTATCCTCAATATGTCCTGAGTAAGAGAAAAAAAGCCCCGAAGAATCCCATTAGGGAAAAATTTAGAAAAAGACCCAAATATATCCCATTCATTCGCCCATGCATTCTTTTTCTCATGTGAAAAGGGTAAAAATTTTAACCTTTAGATATCATCATGAAAATCACTGAGTTGATTACTTGCATCAAGACAAACAAAAAATGTTTTTCAAGTTTTTTAAATTGTTTGTTAACATGGACAAATGGTGCATAATCTAATTACATATGTGCTAATTTGCATAAATACCCAAACAGATCTAAACATTGGGTATAGCAGGTGAAAATGTCTTGTAGAATCTTGTTGACATATAACAGTAAAAGACTTAATGTTAAGGTCTGAATGGAACCCATTTAGGCTACCCATGAACATTAATGCAGGAAGACGTACTTTAGAAACCAGCCTTTAATTAATTATTATTGCAGAGATGAGGTTTGGGGCCTGGGATAAGATGAGTCTGAGAGAAGAACAGGAGACATGGGTAAGGACAATGTAGAAGACAAAAGGTAGGAGAAATAAAAAGTGTCTGGATCAAAAACTCTAATAGCCTCTATGCATGAACCCTGCTTGACATGTGTCCAAAAGAATCTCAGTCAGCGTCTTTACTTCCGGAAGCGCATTCTGCAGGCCAAGTGTATAGAGGCAAAACTTTAATAAAATCCGTTTTCTCAGAAACGGAGACAACGATTTTAGAAACGCTGATTCGCTAGTTGACTTTCGTATATGAGAGAATACTAACCCTCAAAGTTGTTGTTGTAGCTCGAAATATATAATTTAAATAACTTCTCTTTTTTACTCTTGTGTGACAGCTAACTGCCTCACAGTGTGGTTAACATCATTCACGTTAACCGCAGGACGTTTTTATAAACAGCAAGTATAATTTGACACTATCTCCACCTACAACATGACATCATGACTTTTGCGTAAACATATACGCCACTTTCGCGCCAGGTGGCGTGTTATCTCTACGCATTTTGAGCTATCCGCGTGTATGCGTATATGTCTACGCCATTAACGTCCGCGTCATTCCGCGTGTCTGTACACGCAGTCAAATCTCCAGTCATAAATGCCATTAACCCCAGTGACGGTTAGGTTTAGGGACGGGGTTGAGGTAAGTCATATATTTATATAACGTTAAGTCAACGGCGTTCATAAACACGCTGAAAGGCGATTATGCGTCTTGATAGCACGGCAAAAATGGAAATACGAATTGGCGTGTCATACACACGCTACTTCATGAGATCAGTCTGCCACCTAACGCAAAACCGGCTTCTGACCATAGACTGACACAGCACCGGATGTAACTGGGCGTGCTGAGACAAACCCGGAAGCGATCGTGCATAGAGGCTATTACGTACACAACGGTGTTGTAGTCGAGACCACCTCACTCGAGTCCGAGTCGACACCAAGACCAGAGAGAGTGGAGTCCGAGTCAAGACCGACCAGTGAGGGTTGATTACCTAATTTACTTTCATTTACTTAGAGAAATCCTTTTTTTTTTTTACTGAATTTACTTAGAGTTTAAAAAATATGATCAGTTTAGGTTAAAAAGGCCACATAGTAGGTGGTGTTAAAAGTAATTTTATTACAATTTGTCATGCGCAGTTGCGCACTAGAAAATTACCAATCACTGGGGGTGTCAATCAATTTAAAAAAATATTTTATTAACATACATTAATAATCATGAAAAATATTTTGAATTGAACTCGAGTGGACTCGGGAATAAGTCCGAGTCCTAAAAAAAAAAAATGTTCGAGTACGAGTCAATTCCGAGTCCAAATGGACACGAGTCCATGACAAGACCAAGACCATTAAAGTATGGTCTCGAGACCGAGTCCGAGACGAGTCCGAGTCTCGAGTACTACAACACTGGTACACAATGCTCAAACCCTATCTCTGCAATATTAATGAATAAAGGCTGGTTTCTAAAGTACTTCTTCCTGTATGCTTAATGTTCATGGGCAGCCTAAATGGATTCCATTCAGACCTTAATATTAAGTATTTTACTGTTATATGTCAACAAAATTAAAAAAAAAAAAAAACATTTTCACCTGCTATACCCAATGTTTAGATCTGTTTGGGTAATTATGCAAATTAGCTAAAATTATGCACCGTTTGTCCATGTTAACAAACAATAAAAAAAAACTTGTAATACATTTTTGTTTGTCTTTATGCAAGTAATCAACTCAGTGATTTTCATGATGATATCTAAAGGTTAAAATTTTTACCCTTTTCACGTGAAAAAAAGAATGAATATGCGAATGAATGGGATATATTTGGGCCTTTTTCTAAACTTTCCCCAAATGTGATTCTTCTGGGCTTTTTTTTCTTATTCAGGACATATTGAGGATACAAAATCAGTTGAGTTTGCTTCTGGTGTAATTTGTTCAACCTTTTTTCATAAAATGACTGCCAGATGATAACACTTACAATCACTCGAGATCATCCAGCTTTAAAGGGATAGTTCACTTTGAAATAATTTTTGATACGTTTTAGCTTACCTTAAGGGCATCCAAGATGTGTCTTTGTTTCCACAGTATTTTCAATTTTGACATTTTTCGGTCAATCCGTTGTTGTCTATCAGTCATATAATGCAGGTTTAGGGGGTCCGTGTCAAAGAGCATGCACAGAGAAGTCCAAATTAAACATGATTTAATGACTCGTAAATGTAAGTAGCCTACACATTGATGCCTAAGACACGAAATGAGCGGTTTGTGTGAGAAAACGAACAGTATTTACATCGTTTAATTAAAGTGAACTATCCCTTTAAGTGTTGTGCTCTAATAGCTATTTAGAAACAACTTTATAAGTTGAGGTTTTAACTGTAAGGATTACGCTGCTATTTTGAACCAATAATTGGATAAAAAGGAGTTGAAGGCAAACTTTTGCAACTAAAAAAATTAGCATAGGCTACATTTTTTAGCAGCACAAAAATAACGTAAAATGTTGAGCTACAACTTGTGTTTACACCAGGTTTCATTTATTAATTACAAAAAAACAATTGAAAATCTTTACACTTTGTCAGTTAATGATGCGCTTATATATTGTTATCCCAGCTGGCATTTTAACGTTGATTCACCGGTGAAACAACGTCAGGGACCAAGGTTGGATCAACATTGGATTATGTTTCGATTTTGCAAATCTAATCAACGTTGATTTTGCAACGTTGTTTCACCGTTGACATCATGAATGTTGTTTCACTGTTGATGTCGCGACGTTGTTTCACGATCTCTCCTTTCAATATTGGTGAGTAAAAGTTGTATGTCGAAGTTAAACCAAGATTTAATTATGCTTCGGTTTTGCAAATTGAATCAACGTTGCTATCGTGATATTGTTTAAGTCTTACCATTCAACATGGGAGAATACAATTATACATTAAATTACAACGTAGTTTGAATACACGATCATAACAATGCTAACTGATTTAGTGATTAACTGTACATACTGTAGTCTACACTAAAACATTGTTTAATGTCAAATGACTGACAGCAATGGCTTAATTACAAACACATTTAATAAAGAGTTAGCACATGCTCAAGATTGTAAAACAAGTTTTATTTTGGAAAACAAAACAAAAAAGTCTAAAAATACTTTCTACATCTGAAAACTTTAACTTGCAGTGTTTTCAAAGTAATAAGTAAAGTACAAATCTGAATGGAATACTTAAAAGACAGTTTTTGTTCAATTACAGTAAAACTTAGATGAAATACATTTAATATTTTAAGTGTACAGTAACAGTAGAAAAACTTAGCATCTCAATAAAATGCGACAGCCTTTTGCATTGCTCTAGTAGAGTCCCAGCTTGAGGTCTGCTCCGATGCCATCGCTTCCTCTTGCTCCCTCTTCACTTCTTGTCTGCTCTCTGTACGATCCTGTAGCTCATAAATAAAAGCAAAAACAGTTAAAACTGAATACAAAATTATTTACAAGATTTTCACTTACACTGTTCAATAACAGTCGAGTTGAAAAAGTATACAACTCTATCCAAGACATGTTATGTATTCAGATGTAAATGTACAATATCAACCATAATTAACAAGCAGTTCTTCAGAGCCCCAAGGTGGAATTGATTGCTGCTTAATATTAAAGGTCACTTTGAAATTAATTTTTGATATGTTTTATCTTACCTCAAGGGCATCCAAGATGTAGGTGTCTTTGTTTCCACAGTATTTTCAATTTTGACATTTTTAGGTCAAACCATTCTTGTCTGTCAGTCATATAATGGAGGTCTATGGTCACCACCTCAAAGAGCATGCAAAGAAGTCCAGATTAAACATGATTTAATGACTCATAAATGTAAGTACACATTGATGGCCTAAGACACGAAACGAACGGTTTGTGTGAGAAAACCAACAGTATTTAGGCCTATATTGTTTTTACCTCTTGTAACCACAGCCAAGTCCAAGTGATCTGAAGGCATAATCGGTCTGCGCAAGCGCCGGAAGTGATTCGTTGTTTACACAGAGATTTCGGAAGTTTTAACTGTCACTGGGATCTAAACATATTTAGATATATAGGAAATCGCAATAAAACTTCCGAATCTCTGTGTAAAAAATGAATGACGTACACACGCAAGAGATCACTCCCGGCGCATGCGCAGACCGAAGCGCCCGTGCCTTCAGATCAGTTGGACGTGGCTGTGGTTACAAGAGGTAAAAACGAAATAAAAACTGTTAGTTTTCTCACACAAACTGCTCGTTTCGTGTCTTAGGCCATCAATGTGTACTTACATTTACGAGTCATTAAATCATGTTTAATCTGGACTTCTCTGTGCTGCTCTTTGAGGTGGGCCCCATAAATCTCCATTACACGACTGACAGACAAGAACGGTTTGACCTAAAAATGTCAAAATTGAAAATACTCTGGAAACAAAGACACCATCTTGGATGCCCTTGAGGTAAGATAAAACATATCAAAAATTAATTTCAAAGTGAACTATCCCTTTGAACCGTGATTAATTTTTCAGGATTCGTTGAAAGTTCAAGAGAAAAGCAATTAATTAAAATATATATATGAAGAGTTCATATGCAAAAGCCTCTAAATGCCATTTGAAATTTTCTTCTTTAATGATGATTTTTATCAAGCTTGTATATTTAAGTTCAGTAATTTCACTTAAATAATATTTAAGTGAAATTACTGAACTCAAATATACAAGTTTGATAAAAATCATCATTAAAGAAGAAAATTTCAAATGGCATTTAGAGACTTTTGCATCTGAACTCTTCATATATATATATTGCATTACTATAAATGTCTTTACTGTCACTTTTGATCAATTTAATGTGTCCTTTCTGAAGAAAAGTATTTCTATTTTATATATATAAAAAAAAAAATCATATTGACCCCAAACTTTTGAACGGTAGTGTACATTTTTATTAAATTGAGTAAAATCAAATCATAAAAGGTCAATGAATGCATACCAGAAGTGATAGCAGCTAAAGAAAAATCCTCCACCAAATTGCCAGTAATCATATGGATCCTTGGTGAGTCTGGAAGGGGAAACAAGAAATGATTCAATGAAAAGCTCTAAAAAAGCCCTAAAAAAGCGGGATTTTTTTTTCCTTCCATAAACAATCTTAAAATGTATTTAATACTACAAACGTTTGCCATTATAACACATTCACACAACATGAACAGAGTACTGTCATCTTTGAGACTGTTAGTTATTACATGATTAAAATGTAAACGCATATTTAAAGCATGGCAATCCCATCAGAAAAATGTGTATCATAGAAAGGGAAGCACACAAAAAAGCCAACTGGTACATCAAAATCAAGCCATAATATAATGTTACCTGCAGCCTTTATCCTGTTATGACATGTCTGAGGGTCTTTCCCTTAATGTTTTCCAGTGAATTAAAGACAGGACTGATGAAGGTAGGTGACATGACCTTTCACTGCGGCACGTCAGAGGAAAAAAGACAAAAGTACAAAAAGTTACTCAGACTTTCTATCAGTAAATGTCTTTCTTTGATGATGAGAATCATACTTTATACTTTATATTAATCCCAGTGTAGGTTTTCGAAAGAGTGTGTAAAATTGACAAGAAACAAAACAAAAACTTACTGTAGTTGGTGGATTTGTCTCTATTTGGGTGTTCTCCCCCCGAAAAAATCATATTCCAATGCTTACCTAAAACAAATAAACAAATATAATCATTGGCAGTTATCAGGGTTCGAGGTTTTGAACTTCTAATGAATAAATTACGATTTTATCACTTTATTCCGAGACTAATTACCTCTCATGCGTTTAAGCTAACACAAACCACCAACAACAACGCACAGCAGTGTCAGATGGTAACGTAAGATACATGAATAAACTTAATAATATCTCTAGCGCGCTTCACTGATGCAGTAGAAAAACACTCATTTGCAGGCTGCTGCATTAGGCCTATGTCCGCTACCAGTTTGTAAAAATCTTGTCTACAGACAGTAAAAAATGAAGATAATGATCTTCATTAACGGGTGATTATCAGTTTATAGCGTTACCCACAAACTAAATTTACACTCTTTTCAACAGATTTCAACAGAACAGAACAGAACGTTAATACCTTTTAAACATTTATTGATATTTGTTAACATATCTAAAGTGAAACTGTGGTAACGACATACATTAAGGACGTTTAACGTTCACGTTAACGTTAGACTGTTAAGAATAAAAAATGTTTTCTTACCTTTAGTGATTTCGCCAGTATTTTTACAGACCACGTAACATTACGACCCCATCCTCTGTTCACATTCCAGCTTTTGTCCTTCATTGACATATCACAACTCAAATTCGCTCAAAATAAGAATTTAACAAGAATTTTTAAAATAATCCGTGTCCGACGGGGTAATAATCAGCAGAGCAGATGCTCACCTCATACCGACTCAAACAATAACGGACGTATTTTCAAACTTAAAATAGGCGCGCATTTTGTCATTGGCCAGTTTCCTGGAAGACAGAAAGATTAACCAATCAGGGTCAAAGTAAACCGGTGAAACAACCAATAACAGTAGTTTCAGCGTGGTAACGTAGCGAAATGTGTATAGAATATTTAGTTTGCAGTCTGTATTTATTTAATTAATTTGTCAAATGGTGTTTTCATGACAGTGTATGATTTAAAAAAAAAATAATAAAGCATGGTAAACTGTTAGGTAAGCACACAGTATTGTAAATCCACACAAAATCACAAAGCAAAAAGTTTCTGCTGCACTCTTGAGGTTGAAATTATTGGAGAGTTGTCTATAATGATAATAATTATATTTTAACATAGCCAATGCTGTATTATCAGAATATCATTAAATGCTAATAATGATCATAAACTTTATAAGGCAGATTTCTGTTGTATGTGGTTGAAAACATTACGTTGTTCCAACGTACAGATCTTGTACAAATTTCAACGTTGATTTAGAAGTGTTTTCTTAACATTTTTCAACCGTTTAGCATTAAACGTTATATCAACGTTGTTTCAATGTTGAAACAACAACTGACATTATTTCAACAATATTTCAACGTTGAAGGTCGGTCGTATGCCAGCTGGG